GTTTTAGAAGCTATCTGATTGCTAATGCATACAACAGAAGCAAGGGAAGACAGTTCAGTTCCAACACAGTCAAGATGTGATTTTTTTGAATTTGAGCGAGTGTTTTGTACCATCACTGTCTGGTCTGGTAGAGTGCTTGAGTTGTAAAGCTCCTCCACTGAAGTATCCTGAAGATAACACTCCACAACTCTGTAGCAAAAACCTTTTCTGTTTCTAGCCTATGGATAATTATGGGCTCCATATGAATTTGCTTCTCAGGAAAATATACTGACTACTTATAGCACAGAATCAACCTTTGTCACACAGATATCATCTAAGCTTAATATGCAATATATGGCAAACTGATGCAACCGTAATGCAGTCCTTTGTGTGGCATAATCATATTATTTATTTTCTCCCTGAAAACCTGCCTCATTCAGAGTTCAGGGAATTAATCTGGATTACATACTAAACAGCTGTTTTGTAGAGGACACCTACTCTTCTTTTACTCTTGAAGTTGGAAGGTACATACCCAGTGAAGCAGACAACACTGGAGAGCAGATGGATTTTGAGGGCTGACTTTCATCAGGTTTTTTTTTTAAATTTACCCTTCTTCTACTTATCTCATCTGGCTTAGATTTTCCCTTCAAAACTATTTAATAGCCTTTATTCTACCTTCTCCCCTCATCTGACTTCTCCTTCTATTGCTTCTTGCCTTACCAATATGCAGAAATCGAGCTGGGGCTCAGTGCCTTTGAAAAACAGGCTGGTCACTTGGTTCAGGCTCAAAATAAGAATTCAGCAGCCAAATTTTTTATTTTCTAAAAACATGGTCCAAATTATATATGAATTATTCCATGAAAGTAGGATCCTCTATTATTCTCATCTTAGACCATGCAGTGGTCTTGTGGTCACAATGTTTTGAATATTAAACAGACAGTCATAAACTAATCATTTAATCACTCAAATTCTTCAACAAAAAAACCCCCAACATTATTGGATTCCATATGCTGATCAGCCAGGGTTAGCTAATCAACTTCATTTCACAGATTATTGTAACATTTTTCCTCTTGCACACAGAACTAGTATTTTTCTTGTTGTACTCTGAAATCTAATTCTGAGTCAAGACTGTTCACACATCTTTCAGAAAATAAAATTTCATAATTCTGAAAATGGCAGACTGACTACTGGTGCCAGTTTAAATAAAAAATAGAGAGAGAGAGATACATTACTTAGGAAAGAAGCAATTTTTTCAGGAAACAGTCCCTACAAGAACCCAAAACCAGTTACATTGCTTGCTGCCAAAGTTTCCATATATAAAAAACATCTGGAGCAGCCGATATCCTGCTGTTCATGCTTTTTTTTTTAATTTCTGAAATTACTGAAGCCTTCTTGGGGATTTACATGGAAATAAGGAAGAAAAAGACTAGGCATTCCTTTTGTAATGTTGGTTAGCAAGTCTCTGTCAACATTAGTACCTGCCAGGGCTGCCCCATAACATGATTTTTAAATTTCCTAAGGTTAGCATGACTCCTAGCAGGATTCTTTTTGTCTGCTTCAAGTCTTATACCAATTCCCAATGGCCTGATTCTGAACTTCACTGCACCAGATTTAGGCAAACATACTTTCACATTTTAATCAAATTGGTGCAATGGAATGCAGAATAGAGCCTCTTACCTATGTCTAACCATGTCTGCTGTAATATAAGAAACTCACTGTTCCACCTTTAAAGGGACTGGTTTTAAGAAGAGCTGAACACACATAAACTCTGTAGAAACTATGCATGTGTCTCCTCCTTTTCTTGCTGCAAGTGGGGGGCAGCTAGTAAACAGCAAACTGAAGGCTGCTTTACTTGTGAAGGGGATATTCAAAGGCATCAGGGACTGCAGGCATTCAGTTCCCATAGAACATCTAACTCTCATTTGAAAATTGCCCCCTGTGACTCTTTCTTCAAAAAGAATGCACCAGCCCTTGTTCCAATCAGCATCCAAGTGGCAGTGAAGAAAGTTAGGAAGACCACAACTTTGGCCCCTGCTACATGTTGCATATATTACACAATTTACTGGTATAGCATGCAGTGAATTTAGATTGGCCACATATGCAAAGTAAGACTGGACACAAGTGCAAAGTAATTATCACACAATTAACTGGTTAGGCATGCAATAAATTTAGACCACCCACACCTGCACAGTAATTATGACATGACAAAACTGACTATCCAGCTATAAAAAGAGCCACCCAGCTATACAGTTAGTGCTTGAAAATGCATATTAGCTCCATAGCTGATTTCTATCCAGCTTTATTTTGAATGTGTAGCAGGGCCCTTTTACTCAAAGGAATCTGGCTCATCTCTTGGGTAAGGACTGCAGAACTAGCCTTGGAGAGCACATTTGAATAGGGCCTCTCCAAACAGCACATAAAATAAAAAAAAAATCAAACAGAGGAAAGCAAAAAGATGTAATTTCGACACCATGCAGTGAATTACAAACATCGGGTCTCGGGTCTGACTGACCACTGAGTTCTTTCAGTTTTATTCCAAGATGACACTGTCTGCAGTTACAATGGTGAGACCCAGAGAAGCCCAGAGGTGAATCACAACCATAACTTCCATTATCCTTCACAAGAACTGTGCTTATCATCAGAAACCCCCATGTCTAATATTTCTCCAAAGCAGCTGTTTCAAAAGAAGTTAGCTAGGTAACACCTGCATAAGGGTAAATATTCTCAACTTGATACCTGGAGAGTCTGTCATGCATGTAACCCCTGGTATGACTCTCTAGAGGCTGATGCATAACTCGGATTTCCTTATAGAAAGCAGCAGTTGTCAATGTGCCATCTTTACCCATGCAGAATCATTCATTAAAGTGTATATAGGTTTACCTCCAAGTGTCAGGGAAATATCCAGTGCTAACTGAGAAATGCTAATGTCAGTCCAATAAGAAGAATGTACGTTTTTTCTGAAAAGAAAATTGCTGGCAAGAGCCTTGCTGATAGGGAAAATGGTAAATGGTATTATGAATCACAATGGTTGTTTATTTGCATTAAGCGGGTGTTTCTGTGAGTGTCATGTTGTCATCTGCTGGTGCTGCTCTTAAAGGCATCCTGCCACATCAATCAGCAGGGAGCAGCGACCGACAGTGCTTTTCTTTCCCCTCCTCGAGATATATTCACATGGCTTGCCTGACACATCAGCAATCCAAATTAATTTCCAGGGCAGGGATTTGATTAGCTACAACATATCAATGCTCTCTCTGGTGGCTGCTGAGCATACAAATATGTACCTGAGCTATACTGATGAAATTCAAACCAGTGCAGTCTAACATCTTTCTGCTTTGTGGTGAGGATTCAGAAATCTTGGTTTAATTGTCTCACTGAAGCTCAGGCAAATTCTGCTTGGTTAAGGGAAGAAACATTCCCACAATTAAGCCAAATTTGCATGGGTGTTCACCCATGTCACAGCAGCTGTCCTGGCATTTCATTCCACTGCCTGTCTAGCTCTTTGCCATTAACTCACCAAACAGACTACAGGTAGTTAGGAAAATGTTATAGCAGGTGATCGCTGCATGAGCAGCACACTTATCCAGAGCAGTCTGGATCATGATGCATTTCTTGACTCTACTACCTGTGTTTCCTATGCCAACATCAAAATGAACAATAGCAGCACTGGTAATTGTGATGTACACTAAATGTGTACTCATGCCACTTGTTACAGCAATGCTGTGATTTTTGCCCAGTTTCATCATGCCACATATGCTTGTGTTGCTGCCTATTGCCTCACCAAACTTACCTCTTGACATAAATGGGCCCAATACAGAAAGAGATAATGCGTGTGGTCTGGGTGCATTTAAAGGAGAGTGAGAGCCTGACAGAGGCCAGGGTCTGTCATTGCATGTGTGTGTCCTCCTAAATGCCGCCAACCAGCCATGCCACTGGTCACGAACTTGTCACAGTGGGGGGAGTACTGCATACTCCTTTAATAAGTGGCATGAAGCTAACTAGATGGGTAAGGAAGGGCCTTTGCAGGACATGGTCTTCGAGGAAAGGAGGAGAGAACACAAGCAAAATATGGAAACACCTTCCACATCATTCCACAAAGCTTGCTGGTGTGGTGTGAAGTGCAGGGAGTGTACGCATGGAGCTACATCCTACTGTGTTTGTGTGCATAGAAGACATAACCACTAGGGCTCTACCAACTTCTTGAGTCCCACTGGTTGCCTCCGGGGTGCTGTGTGCATCCCTGAGCAAGTATAACAAGTGCAGTATCTGTGCTCTGGTGAACACATAGCAATGTAATTCTGCTTGGACCTTGTGTGGGTTGATCTAAGCACCTTATTTCTCTGTGCTCCCACAGAGGTGTAAGGCAGAGTCTAGCCCTAGGTGGAAGAGAAAAAAATCTCTATGATTTTTAGCTTAGGATACAAAACAGAAAGGAAATAATGAGCAATTACGCACAAACACCACCTGACCTGAGACATGGTGAAGCCAGGCTACACCTCACCATCTTGAATACAATTGTTTTTTTACTATGATGCTAAAGAGGGACTGAACTCCCTCTGTGTTTTCACTTCCACTTCAGCTGCTTTTCCAAGATAATTAAGCATTTGCTGAGCTGGTAAGACCACTTAACTACTAACATTTGAAATCAAAATGATCTCGCTAGGATGTCCCTTTGCCAATAAGGGAGACAATTATGTTCCTTCTGTTTTAGTAGGTGGGTATACACTGAAATGCAAAACTCTGAAAGATTATCTGCGAGCTGTTTTATGTTAAAAAAACAAAGGAAAACATAACCAGCAATGCCTCCTGCTGAGTGGAAACATTCCTGCTGTGGAAGGCTGCAATGATTATGCTGTGAAACAGCAAAAGGTTGGAGGTGGGGGGAGCCCTGTAGAAGAATGTAAGGCCCAAGCTTGCCATCCTCAGACCTTTCACTCATTTCAATGGGAGTTCCACCCATAAAGGGGGAAAAGATCAGACCCCGACACCCCCAACTTTTTTTCCCAGGTTGAAGTTTCACTTACCTGCCTGATTTGTGGTTACATTTACAGACACATATTGTCGTGCTCCGGGATTCTGGTCGGACACTCCATTCACTGCCTCAATCTCAAAGGTATAGTTTGTATGGGCAAGCAGGTCCACCATCATGACAGAGGTGTTTTTCAGGCTGGTTTGCTGTGGGAGGTACCTGACATGACTGCCACACGCCTCACACAGACCTGAGTGTGAGTGGCACTTCTTGCATGCAATATAATAAGACACATCTTTCCTTCCACCAGTATCAGCAGGAGGAATCCATTCCAGAAAGACACTAGTCTCGTTAACATTTGAGATGGCATTCCGAGGAGCTGAGGGGGGTCCTGGTTTGTAAAGTAAAGTGAGAAAAACACATGGTAAAAATAGTATTATAAATCCATCCTGTTCTCTACTACTGTCTAGCCTGAAAAGAGTTGTTGCATTGCTTGTATGCCAAACAGCAAGCAGAGCCAATTTACCGTAGCACCTAAAGAAGCATGGGGCATGGGGAGCGTTCTTCCTTTTTCCTCTTCACTTTAAAGGGTCCAAGTTTGGACCCACCCATCTGCCTGACCAAGGGAGACTAGCTGAT